AGATAGGCCAAGGCCTTCATAAGAAGAGCTCTGCTGGAACAGACCAGTGAAGGTCCATCTAGTCTAGCCTCCTGTCTCACACAGTGGCCAACCCGTTCTTCTGGAGGGCCAACAGCAGGACAGAGAGGCTGAGGATTTCCTAAGAACATAAGAAGAGGCCTACTGGATCAGACCAGAGGTTCATCCAGTCCAGCTTCTTGTCTCACACAGTGGCCAGCCAGTTCATTTGGAAGCCTAGCAACAGGGCATAGAGGCCTTCCACTTATATTGCCTCCTGGCACTGAGTTTCAGAGGTTTACCGACTCTGAATGTGGAGGTTCCATTTTAGTCATCATGGTGAGTAGTCACTGATGGATCTCTGTGTATCTAATTTTTTATGCTTGTTGCCGTGGCTATGTCCACTGACACTGATTTCCACAGTTTAATTATTCCCCTTCTTCCCATGGTGGACAAGAGCTTCAAAGTAAGAGGAAGGCTTTAATATAAGATTTGTGTCGGAGTGAGAGGTGAGTTTTTCCCATCATTTGGAGTCCAAAACAGCATGGTCCTATACAGAATTACTCTGTTGGGTTTAATCAGTGTTTACTGTGTATAGGATTGATTCAGGTGGGGTAGCCATGTTGGGCTGAAGCAACAGAACAAAGTCTTGAGTCCACTGGCACCTTTAGGACCCACAAAGTTTAATTCTGGGCAGGGGTCATTTCCTGCAGGAGCGCACAGGAGCGGAGCTCCGGCAGTAAAGAGCCCAGGGGGCGGGCACATGCAACAAGCCCCACCCCCTGCTCCCAGCAGCCCTCAGTCAGACCAAGAAGCAGCCAGGTAAGCTGCAGAGCCCCCCCCCCTCGGTCCAAAACAGTCCAGTGGCACCTTTAAGACCAAGTTTCATTCAGGTACAAGCTCTCCCTCCTCTGCTCGGGGGCAGACTTGCCCGTTCCCCCCCCCCCCAATAGCTAGCAATCCAAAACAGTCCAGTAGAGCCTGAGCGGTGGGTGTTGCCTTCTGACACACTTCCGGTGATGTCAGGGGGTGTGGCATATGCAAATAAGTTATGCTAATGTGTTATGCTAATGAGCTCCTGCACCTCTTTCTCTACTAAATGACCCCTGATTCTGGGTATACGTTTTCGTGTGCATGCACACTTCTTGTGTATAGGGTTGTTTCACAAGGTAGCCATGTTGTTAGTCTGCAGTAGGAGAGCTAGATACGAGTCCAGCAACGCCTTAGAGACCAACAACATTTTCGGGGCGTCAGTTTTCCAGAGTCAAAGCTCCCTTCATCAGATACAAGTAGGAATGGGGATCTCTGGTTCCTTGTATCCCAATCTAACTGGGAAATAAGGATTCCGTGATCTCCATCTTGTATGTGATGAAGGGTGCTTTGGCAGTCCTATACACAGCTCGATTTGAGTTTAGTAGTGCCTTAGGAACCAACCAAATTTTGGGGGTGTAAGCTAGCAACCTAGCAGTTCGAAAGCAAGAAATTGCAAGTAGATAAATAGGTACCACTTCGGTGGGAAGGGAAGAGCATTCCGTGGGCCTCGGCATGCCGGCCACATGACCACGGAAACGTCTTCGGACAGCGCTGGCTCTTCGGCTTTGAAACGGAGATGAGCACCGCAACCCTAGAGTCGGATTCGACTGGCTTTCGAGCAAGGGAACCTTTACTTTAAGCTTTCCAGAGCCAAAGCTCCCTTCCTCCAATACAGCCCTGACTTGAATAGCCCAGGCTAGTCCGGTCTCCTCAGATCTCAGAAGCTAAGCAGGGTCGGCCTTGGAAAGTATTTGGATGGGTGACCTTCAAAGAATACCAGGGTCGCGATGCAGAGGCGGGCAGTGGCAAACCACCTCTGAAGCGTCTCCCGCCTCAAAAGCAAGTTAGCTCGCCACCTAGTGGTGCATAATGCTACAAGAGCTAGAACTTTTGGCTGCCAGACAATCTTAGGATCTCCTGGCAATACTACGCACACTGCCATACAATAGTAATAATAACGCTCTCCGAGATCTCCATTCCTACTTGTATTTGATGAAGGGAGCGTTGCTGATGCCTTGAAAATTGTGTTGATCTCCAAGGCGCTGTTGGACTCGAATCCCCCCCGATTCCCCCGGCCACCCCAATCCAAAACAAAAACCCAGCCGTTTTCATCTCTGGCAACTGGGGGTGGGTAGGCGAACAATGCCTTGATTTTTAGTTGAACAGAAGTTCAAGCCCAGTGGCACCTTTTAAGACCAACAAAGTTTGATTCAAGGTGCATGCTTTGCTGCGCACGCACGCTTCTGTATCTGAAGAACTGTGCATGCACACAAAAGCTTATACCTTAATAGGGTTGCTAGACCCTGGTTAGGAGCTGCGGTGGCTCAAGTGGTTAAGACGCTGAACTGCAGGCTGTGGAAGGTCGGTAGGTCAGCAGTTCAAGACCCGAGTGTACTGCATGATGGAGTGAGCTCCCGTCTCTAGTTCCAGCTCCTGCCAACCTAGCAGTTCGAAAGCAAGAAACTGCAAGTAGATCAATAGGTACCACTTCGGTGGGAAGGTAACAGCTTTCCGTGCGCCTTGGTGTTTAGTCATGCCGGCCACATGACCACGGAAACGTCTTCGGACAGCGCTGGCTCTTCGGCTTTGAAACGGAGATGAGCGCCGCAACCCTAGAGTCGGATTCGACTGGCTTTCGAGCAAGGGAACCTTTACCTTTTTAGACCCTGGTTGGGAAACTCCTGGAGATTTGGAGGCGGAGCCTGGGGAGGACACGGACCTCAGTGGAGTACAGGGCCGTACAGTCCACCCCCTCCCCACCAAGCACCCAGTTTTCTCCAGAGGAACTGATTTCTGTAGTCTGGAGATAAGTGGTAATTCCTGGGGAACTCCAGGTCCCACCTGGAGTCTGGCAACTTTGTCTCTAAGCTGTGGAGTCTTGTGAGCAAAAATTCTACTTTGTGAGCTACCGGCATTAAAATAGGGAGCGAGCGATTTGGCTCCTGCATCAATTAGTTTGCTCTGGAGCCCTCCTCCCTGAGCTAAGGCAAAAATGAGTGAGCCGGAGGCTAAAAAACTGTGAGCCAGCTCACACTCACTCAGCGTAGAGGGAACGCTGACCCTATACCTTGAATAAAACTTTTTTTGGTCCTAAAGGTGCCGCTGGACTCAAAAATGGATTATTATTATTTTTAAAAATCATGTTATTTATAGACTGCCTTTCTTGCTTGGGACTCCAGGTTTTTGACTCCAGATTTGGAGCCCAGTGTTCCCTCTGAGCCGAGTTGGTGTGAGCCAGCTCGCAGTTTTTTAGCCTCCGGCTCACACATTTTTTTTTGTCTCAGCTCAGGAAGGGATGGCTCTAGAGCAAACTGATTTCTGCCGGAGCCAAATAACTCACAACCAATGTTCCCTCTAAGGTGTGGAGTCTTGTAAGCAAAAGTTCTACTTTGTGAGCCACTGGCATTAAAGTTGTGAGCACGTGATATTGGTCATTGCATAAATTAGTTTGCTCTGGAGCCCTCCTCCCTGAGCTAAGGCAAAAATGAGTGAGCCGGAGGCTAAAAAACTGTGAGCCAGCTCACACTCACTCAGCGTAGAGGGAACGCTGACCCTATACCTTGAATAAAACTTTTTTTGGTCCTAAAGGTGCCGCTGGACTCAAAAATGGATTATTATTATTTTTAAAAATCATGTTATTTATAGACTGCCTTTCTTGCTTGGGACTCCAGGTTTTTGACTCCAGATTTGGAGCCCAGTGTTCCCTCTGAGCCGAGTTGGTGTGAGCCAGCTCGCAGTTTTTTAGCCTCCGGCTCACACATTTTTTTTTGTCTCAGCTCAGGAAGGGATGGCTCTAGAGCAAACTGATTTCTGCAGGAGCCAAATAACTCACAACCAATGTTCCCTCTAAGGTGTGGAGTCTTGTAAGCAAAAGTTCTACTTAGGCTAAAAAACTGTGAGCTAGCCCACACTAACTCACCTTAGAGGGACCACTGCTCGCAACTTTAACGCCAGGATCCCGCAAAATAAGAATTTTCGCTCACAAGACTCCGCAGCTTAGAGGGAGCCCTGTTTGGGCAGGTATCTTTTCAGATATTAGTAGAGGGTTCCCTCCAGGGCGAAAAAGCGTTGTTAGGATGTCAGCTTTCCCCTTCCAGGGTTGAAAAGGTGTTGGTAGGATTTCCGCTTGAAAATATATATATGGATGGGGGGGGGGGAATAATAAATATCCAGCACAAAAAAATGGGCTGCGATGAGGTTTCAGATATTAGTAGAGGGTTCCCTCCAGGGCGAAAAAGCGTTGTTAGGATGTCAGCTTTCCCCTTCCAGGGTTGAAAAGGTGTTGGTAGGATTTCCGCTTGAAAATATATATATGGATGGGGGGGGGGGGAATAATAAATATCCAGCACAAAAAAATGGGCTGCGATGAGGTTTCAGATATTAGTAGAGGGTTCCCTCCAGGGCGAAAAAGCGTTGTTAGGATGTCAGCTTTCCCCTTCCAGGGTTGAAAAGGTGTTGGTAGGATTTCCGCTTGAAAATATATATATGGATGGGGGGGGGGGGAATAATAAATATCCAGCACAAAAAAATGGGCTGCGATGAGGTTTCAGATATTAGTAGAGGGTTCCCTCCAGGGCGAAAAAGCGTTGTTAGGATGTCAGCTTTCCCCTTCCAGGGTTGAAAAGGTGTTGGTAGGATTTCCGCTTGAAAATATATATATGGATGGGGGGGGGGGGAATAATAAATATCCAGCACAAAAAAATGGGCTGCGATGAGGTTTCAGATATTAGTAGAGGGTTCCCTCCAGGGCGAAAAAGCGTTGTTAGGATGTCAGCTTTCCCCTTCCAGGGTTGAAAAGGTGTTGGTAGGATTTCCGCTTGAAAATATATATATGGATGGGGGGGGGGGGAATAATAAATATCCAGCACAAAAAAATGGGCTGCGATGAGGTTTCAGATATTAGTAGAGGGTTCCCTCCAGGGCGAAAAAGCGTTGTTAGGATGTCAGCTTTCCCCTTCCAGGGTGGGGGGGGGGAGAGAGATGTCTTAAATTTTCTATATTTATAGAGCCGAGAGTTATTTATTTTCCTAAAAGACCCCAAAATGTCCTCGTTCGCAAAAGGTAAGGACCGTTTTTCGCTTCTGAAATGCTTTCAAGCCGCTTAGTGTCTGTGACTGTTATTATTTTTTGACATAATGCTGCCATAAAACAGGCTTCATCTGTCAACGCATAGGGTGATGGTGGGTTGATGCTGGAAAGGAGGGAGCTTGAAACCTATTATGGTTTTTGGGTCAGTTGCACAGATTTTTCCCTTTTTTTTCCTGAGGGTCTGCTTAGGTACCAACAAGACACCCACCGTCTTTACTTGTCTGGACTTTCAAAGTGCATTTGTACCTTCTCTAAAAGCAGAGACTCTGAAAGGAGGAGGGGGGGAATTGTATAGTTGACAGCTATGAACACGACAGATTACAGAAGGGTTTTTTTTGCCCTGTTATAAGCCCGCAATCTATCGCCTGGCCTCTCTGGCTAACCCTTGATGGGTATGGACGATCCTGTGTCTGCCCGGAATAGGTTTAGGTAGATGTTGGCATGTGATGCTTTCGGTAGGTTGTGCCTGTCTCCTTGTATTTTCCTCCGTGTGTACGTGATTCGACTTTCAGAATCGTCTATTGCGAAATTTGGGAATAGCCCATTTTAAAAAAAAGTCATTTCCAGAAGGCCTTATGACTTTGATACACTGCTATGGCATTTCTCCCCCTCCCCATACAAGTGTGTTGTTCTTTGGTGCCAAAAAAAGAGGCTTGTTAGGGAAAGTATTTCTGTTAATAAGTCGGGCTAGTCGGTCAACCTGGATCAGGTTTTCGATAGCTGGGTGTACGGTGTACTGAATACTTTGACCTTTGAGTTCTGGGGCACTGTGTAAGCCAGCACGATACGATTGTTCTGTCCTAACTGCAGACGCACAGAGGCAGGCTGAGGAGAGAACTAAGCAGTCTGGTTACAGCTAGATCCCTTTCAGTCCTTTATGGGAGTGTGTTGCAATTTTTAAACCCAATAGTGGAGGAGGCCATTTTGCATAAAAAGCATTTCACTTACATTTTCACCAGCCGGCAGTTGTATAATGTCACAAATCGGCTTGGTAAATTATAAGGGTTATTAGGATCGTCTTGGAGTTCAAACGTATACTGGCATCGTGCACCGTTTTTGACGCTTGTGCTGCCCTTTACCGCAATGGTCTTTCCCAGCCTCCTCGTAAATTTCAACACTTGGGCTTAGGAGTTGAGGTATATCCTCCCTTAGACAGTTTTTACTTTTTTTTTTTTTTTTTTAACTATTAGCCAAATTGTTTGAAAGTGTTAGCTTGGACAAAATGGCCTCCCCCACGGTGTGCTGGGTTTTGCGTTCATTTAAAATGCAGAACAGATGTCTTATTGAGCACGGAGGACTGCAAAGCCGTTTTAAGTGGGC